AGAAGCAAAAGCCTACATAAGATGTGCATCATGATTCTGCTCTGGGCAAAAGGGCCATGATTCTGCCAGCATCTCCTGGAAAGTCTACAAAATATATCCAGAATCGTCTGCCTGAAAGAGAATGCAGTTAACCACCCCCATTGGTTGAGGGTTGCCCCCGGGGCATGGACTCCCCAGGACTGCTGGGTCCCTAGGAGAGCAGGGTCCCATGATGTTGGAGCAGGAGGGCACAAAGAGTTGACACACTGTCCACACAAAGTAGACTGTGCTCACGCAAGACTATTCACAAGAGCTGCAACCAGTAGGTAGGTTTTTAAAACACTTCTCTACTTTCTCTGTTTGCTCATGTGTTGGAGACCTTTCCACAATGGCAAGAGTAGAGTACCTCATTATTCTCAGGAGCTATGTAATATTTCATCATATGTGTGTGGGTACTTCCATGCATGTATAGTTCACATACCATAAAAACCATGATCAACTCATCAATCTACTTTTTAAATTTGTATGAACATTTTACTAGGAAAAAATCTTCAGACATACAGAGAGTTGAAAGAATTATATATACCCATCTTCCAGATTCTACCATTAACATATTACTATCAATCCATCTGCCCATCTATCCATCAATCCATCTAATTTTTTGGTTGCATTTCAAAGTAAGTTGCAGACATCAGTACCTTTCCCCCTAAATACTTTAGCATGTATGTCATTAACTGAAGGTCAGTATTCGTTTATAGCTTTCTTTTTCCCTTTTAAGGTCAACTTACATACAATGAAATATACAAATCCTAATGTACCCTTTGGCGTATTTTGACTAATGCATATACCTGTATAATCCAAAACCCTTATCTAGCTATACAACATGACCATTTTTTCATGTTTCTTCCCAAGTAATACCTGCCCTCACTCTCCCAAACACAACTATTTTGATTTTTTTTTTTCCCTCACACCATAGATTATATTTGCCAGTTCTAGAACCTCATATAAATGGGTTCATACAGTTCAAACCTGTTTTGTGTAAGGCTTCTTGCACTTAGCATAACATTTTTGAGATTTAGCCACATTCTTGCAAGTATCAATAGTTCCTTTTTATTGCTGAATAGTATTCATAAACAGTTTGTTTATCCATTCTCCTGTTGATAGATATTTGTTTGTTCCAGTTTTGGACTATTGTGAATAAAGCTGCAATGAACACTTTATAAGTCTTTTAATGAACATATGTTTTTGGTCCATATGTTCCATATGTTAAATTCATTAAAGCCTTTATTTTGAAGGGCAATTTAATTTGAATAGTGTTGCAGTAAAAAAAGAAGAAAGTACATTTATAAGTACATCCATGGAAAAAATTCTGTGGAAAGGGTAAATATACATTTAAATAACCTTTTATTAAGGAAAATTTCTAAAATGCAGAGAGAATACTCATGTATCTTTTACTCAGCTTTGACAATAATCAATTTTGCTCTACATTCTTGCTACTTTTTCTGTTTGCTCTTTTTCTTCTTGATCTATAGTAACCTCAGATGTAACAACAGCAAAATATTTCTATATGCATCTCTAACTGATGAGAAAATTTTTTTATATATATATTCACCATGCCATTGTTATAACCAACAGAAGTAATGGTAATTCTTTTAATTCTATCTAATGCCCAATTTATATTCAGATTTTTTCTATCTCAACATTGTTTTATTTACAGTTTGTTAGAATCAGGATCCTACACTGCGTTAGGTTGTTAAGTGCTCTTGTATTTTCTAACAATAGTCTTATTTTGTTTGATTTTATTTTAATACCATCAATTTGTTAGAAGAACTTTATCATTGGACTTTCAGAATGTCCCACATTCTAGATCTGACTTATTGCTTCTTGTGGTATCACTACACTCAGTTTCAATAATGAGGGCTGCTTCGAGATGGGGCTGTGTACTTCCTCTTGAGGGACAGAATGTCGGCTTGTTCCATTTTTATGAGGCTGACACTGAGCAGAGGGATCACATAGAACCTGCCTGATCCTTTCTTTGTAAAATTTCCATCAACCTTGCTGATGGTTTTAGCATCCACTGATGATAAAAGCTTAAATCCATTATTTCACTAAGTGTTAGAAAAGAGTGTTTTTCACATTTCATTATTCTATCTACATTCATTAGCTGGAATTCTGTGAAGAATTTTCCGTTGTCAACTTTTTGGTTACCCTGAAATACAATTTTTATATAAAAGAAAAGTAATCTGCTCGGCTCTTTCTCTTTATTGATCATTTTTCAGAGTAATGAGTTTGTATCGTAGCAAAAGATGACCAGAGAATTTTTTTCCCTGTGTCTCATTATGAATTCACAGGAGTTAATAACCATACAGGTTCCATTCCACCCCCCTCCCCCAGTTGATATGTCTCTTAACTCTTTCTCTCTCTTTAAAAGATTGCTCAGGTTTTTCCACCTGGGACAGTGGAACTTCTACAGGTTAGCCCCTGTGTCCTACATCTGACCAACCCTGGTCCTGTGGATTCTACCTCCTGTCCACTGCCCACCTGCCTGTCACCACCATGGTCCATGTCTCTGTTTCCTTTTTTGCCACTTCAGGAAAAGGCCAGAGTCACAAATATTTGAAAACACATGTTTGATCCTATCATTCTTCTGTTTAAGTTGCTCTCCATAGCTCTTGGCATAAAGTCCAGGGCCTTGAACGTGGACTTTAGGGCCCATTTGATCTGGCCCCTCCCTGTCTCTGTGTCATCATGATTTATCTGTATGGAGGTTTGCGGCCTGTATGTGGCCTGCCCTCTCTCCATCCCTTCTCTCACATGCAGTTTCTTCTGCCTGTGTCACCTTTCCCCTTGGCTAACTCTTCCTCGTCCTAGGTCTTCATTTAGGCCAGTAATTCTCAACCCTGCTGCATATTACAACATATGGGCAGTTTTAAGAAATACTTGTGCCTGAGCTCCAACCAATATCAATTAAAATCTGAATGTTTGGAGGGTGAGGCCTGATTGCTATTTTTAAAAGCTTGCGCAGGTGATTCTGACATGCGGCCAAGGTTGAGAACCACAGTTTGGGGTGTTCCTTCCTCTGGGACATTTTCCCTCACCACACACACCCCTATGCCTGGGTTACATGTCATTTATTACTGCCGTAGCATTCTGCTCTAATCCTTTTTTATCCCCTTTGTGGAGATATAATGGATGGATAACACTGTGTGAGTTTAAGGTGTACAACGTGATGATCTTATCTTTATCATCAAGGCCTCAGTCTGTTAACGCTTGGGTTTCTTCCATGTTAGATGGAAGCTCATGTGGGCTGTGGCCCCATCTGTGTGTTCTGTGCTTGGTTATATTTGTAAGTGGATGGTAGGGAGATGTCAGGGCCGGACTTTGAGGTTGTTTGAATGCAGAGGTGGTGCTCCACTGTGTGGGATGAAGGCCAGATTCCGTCATCTGCCAACATCATTTCTCACCAACCTCTTCAACTCCTCCAAACCCCTTTCCCTAGACAAGTGGACTTTAAACAGTCCTTGCCTTTATACCTGCCTAAAGAATGTCCCCAACTCATGGGCCACCATTGAACTCATAGAACTTGTGGGCAACCCCTATTTGATACTTCGTCATATTCATGCTGTGAAAATGTTTTCAAAATTGGGGGACCTGGTATAAGAAATTATCTTTGTATTTTGTGAGTTTCTTTAGAAATATTTTGCCTTTGAATGGAAATTAAAGCTTTGTTTACTAGAAGAATAAATTGATATTAAAATAACGCTCTTGCCTTTTTTATGATTATTTATTTATTTGGGGATAGATTTATTGAGGTATAATTCACATACAGTAAAGCTTTCCATTTTCCCCAAAGCAATCTACTTGGAGCGTTTTAACTTTCAGGCACAGTGCTTTGATGCCCTGGTTGGACTTCAGGCCGTGTGTGATCTGGGCACATGTCCTCACGGTTGCTTCCAGATATAGCTTCAAGGGCACCCCGAAAGCTTTCACTGACTGTGATGCTGCTGTGAAAAAAGTTCTTTAAAAAGTTCAATTGTGACCTTTGAAAGCTCGAAGATACACAAGGAATCTTACCAACAATGAAATGGTTTCTTGTAGCCCTTGTGCTTGGCACCTGTGGCCTGTTGCTGCCTTTTTCCATCCACCAGAGGGCAGTGTGTCCCTCCACCTAGCAATTTGCCTCCCCTTTCAAATCCTAGCATGTAGCTCCTGAAGTCATGCCAAACGTTTCTCAGAATTTGATTTGACTGCTAGAAATGTATCTTACGTTGCAACCCTGTAGAGACATACATACATATGTAGCTCTATATATGTATATATAACAAAAATTTCATAAAATGATGATGTCTTTACTTTGTGCAATACGCTCTGATATTTTCTCTTCTCTTTCATTAACAACTGCGCCGATCATCACCCAAAATGAGTTCATGGCTCACAAATTGGGTTGCAGCCCATGATTTGAAAAATATTGCCTTAGAGTTCATTTAGTCTCGCATCCTGCATATTTATGGATGAAGAGATGCAGCAGAGAGGGGACATGCCCAGATCACTGGAATTTAGAGCAACACCTAGGAAGAGGTTTCAGGGACTCGGACTTCTAAATCTGTCACTCTCAGCCTACCGACATTACTGTTGAGGTACAATCAGTGCTCCAGGAAGTCACTGCCACGGAGAGAGAGGTCATGGACGTGTTGTATTCCCAGCACTCTTTGCTACTGCAAGAGAAGTGTCGCCTCCAACAGGGTTTTCTCTTTGGCTCTATAACTTCTGCATATCAGCCACCGATCGATTATCAGATCGGTGCTGGCCTCTGGAAGGTAAGCCCTGTGGAATCCTGCATGTGGATCCTCCTTGGTGATTTTTGTTACCTGAGTACACACGGTGGACCAGCTTAGCAGTGGTTTGTTCTATAGCCCTAACTCCATCAGCGCATTATGCAAATTAAGTAGGCAGTGTCAAAGTGTCTACTTCCAAAATGCGGAAGGTGGATGTTCTCACATGGTCCCCTCCGTGCTCCGTAGGATGACTCACAGAGGACGTTCAAGATTGACTACAACCACAACCGCTTCCTCAAGGATGGCCAGCCATTCCGCTATATCTCGGGCAGCATTCACTACTTCCGCGTGCCCCGCTTCTACTGGAAGGACCGGCTGCTGAAGATGAAGATGGCTGGGCTCAACGCCATCCAGGTGTAAGTAAGAGGGCACTCGGCTCTCACTGGGGCTGGACACCCACACCTGAAGAGAAGGTACAGCTGCATTTCTCAGTGCAGCTATTTCATTGCTCAGAATGGGAAATGGCATTGTCTGGCGTTGTGGGGGAAGGGGCGAGGGGGGACTTGTCGTGAGTTTGATTGACCCTTCTTCAGATAATTAATCACTTCTTCCAATATTGAACTTTATCACTAGAATTCATAAAGTGAATATCAGCTTAAAAAGGCAAAGGGAGGTAACAATGATTATTTACCATGTGCAGGACACTTTACATGAATGATTCCATTTTTTTAAGGAGTTATCATTCCCGTTTTACAGCTGATGAAACTGAAATTTGCACATGTCTTTGGCCAGAGGTCCAGCTATGCAGTCATAGCTTCTCTCAACTCTTAGGGGCAGATGCCTTGTTAGGTAGATTCCTAAAATCCAGTCTGCCTTTGGGATTCTGCCTGGGTCATGTGATAGCCTGGGGTCATAGAATTACCCCAATACCTATCTCTCATCTCTTTTTTTCCTGTTGCAAGGTAACTAATTGTGAAGAACTGGAGTGACTGGCCACTCTGGTTTTTGTGCTGCTGATGTGAATTGCTGATAACTTTGCAAAGATAAAGGGTGAGAAAACCCAGAGGCAGATTCTTGGGACAGATAGCTAGGGAGAACCCCACTTGTTATTCTGGTTCTAAGGCCACAGTTTTCAACCCTACATTCTCAGGGACTAAGAATATCTGTTCCAAGGTATCCTGAAACCATGGGATTTTGGAAAAAGGAAATGAGCCAGGGGTTGTCAGAGAGACCTTTGAGATGGCAGTGGGTGGCTTCATATTTAAATTTATATTTCATGCTGTGTGCAGCCAGGAGAGCTGGTAGGACTTTTTGTCATTTTACCTACTGCATGCTGTCGCTAACAAGGTCTTCCATCACTGAAGGGTTTTCCATTTTTATTAAAAGGACTTTTCAAAAAATAAGTACAGTCATGCATAATGACATTTTGGTCAATGACATGGCAGTGCCATATTATAATGAAACTGTAAAATTTCTATAGCCTAGTGACATCATAGCCATCGTAACGTCATGGTCTATGTATTACTCACGTTTTTGTGGCGATGCTGCTATGAACACATCTACTGCGCTGCCAGTTATATAGAAGTATAGCACATACAATTACGTACAGTTCGTCATGCTTGATATTGATAATAAATGACTGTTACTGGTTAATATATTTACTATACTGTACTTTTTCTTGTTATTTTAGTGTACTCTTTCTACTTATTATAACAAAAAAAAAAGACCATCTTACCCCAGCAGTAGCCTCATACATCTGTTTGTCTCTCGATTGCATCATTTTCTCACGGACCTGATTTAATCGCGTGTTGTTTTGTGCAGTAGCATGCCGTACAGGCTCGTCGCCTAGGTACAGCATGAGGGTGTACCATTTAGCCTAAGTGTGTCGAAGGCTAGACCATCCAGGTGTGTGTAAGTGCATTCTGTAGTGTTCACACAACGAAACCACCTGATGACGCATTTCTCAACGTATTCCTGTCGTGAAGTGGCACGTGACCGTACACCTCTTATTACTGTAGCACAGATATTTTCATTTTTCCTCAGCCTTACACAGACATATGTAATTTTTACATAGTATTAATCCATGTTCATGTAATTCCGTTACCTTTTTAAAAGTCAAGCATTAAATAGGAATGGGCATTCTTTGTGGGTCATAAACTTAAAAGTGTCCCCCAAGCTTGGTTTTCTCAGGTAGCTGCTGTGAAAACTCAAAATAAGGCCTCTCTCCTGAGAGGCTGCCTAAGGTTTAGGTTCTCCAGACGATTCAGAAATTCACATAGGACATCTGGATTCTTGAGCCGTTTTCAGAGAGTGGCTGTGTGTATCTTGGCAGATACGTGCCTTGGAACTTTCACGAGCCCCAGCCAGGACAGTACCAGTTTTCTGAGGACCATGATGTGGAACATTTTATTCAGTTGGCACATGAGCTGACGCTGCTAGTCATCCTGAGGCCTGGACCCTACATCTGTGCGGAGTGGGAGATGGTGAGTGTGGCCCTGCCTGGTGTGCGTGACAGGGGTAGACTGGCAGGCAGGGGTGTGAGGGAAAGTGAATTAAGGCCATTTGAATGAGTCTCTAATTCCAGAAAATGTGGAGCCTGTGATGGTAGCCAGCACAGGGGTCTTTTCCCTTAGGAGGTGCCCAGGTAGAGAGGAACAGGTAAGGGTCAGAAATATGGGCCTTCCTCCTGGTAGTCACTCACATAACTCAATTTCCTCATCTGGAAAAAGCCGTTAATGGTGCGGGCTCTTTCTACCTTTTATATAGATTAAGTGGAATAATCTATATAAAAGGCTTTGATTCTCAAAATATTGCACTCATGCAGAGTGACCTTATTTTTACTGTTATGGTTTCAGATTTCCCTGAAAGTTTCCAAATCAGAAAGCCCAACTCAAACGCCTCTTCTCCATGAAACTTTTCTTCCCTCACAGCTAATAGTAATTTCTTTGTCCCCCGAGCACCTTTCATGAAATGGACCTTACAATGGCTTCTCTCCTCTCCCCCACCCCATCCCCCACCACCCCCATCCCAGGGAGGATTACCTGCTTGGCTATTACAGAAAGAAGGTATCATTCTCCGTTCTTCTGATCCAGGTAAGTTGTTGCAGGTGTCTTGGGAGAATTTTTAAAAGCTTAGCTAGTTTATATCAAGAGTGCCTTTGCTTTGAAGGCTGGGGTACTTCTGTGCAAACACTTGTGAAAGTTTAGTGAAAATCCAAGTGTTAATCGTCATCCACTGTGGGACACCAGACATTTATTGTGTAGGAAATAAGCCTTTCTTGAACTACATGATCAGATCTTGCTGGTAAACTGGTAACTCTTTGAACTGGCATTGGGCTTGTTGGCAGTTGACCGAATAACTAACGCTCTCTCCCCCTCCATTCTTAGTATATTGCGTGGCCAGTGATAAGAGACTAGCTTATCAAAATGGCAGATGCAGTTTCTGGAATGGTGTCACTGGATTGCTCAGTAGCTGCTGTGTCTTCTGTTCCTCAATCTACTTTTACAGAGTGATCTGTAAATGATAGACATTTTCTTGTCTTTTTTAAACCACTTTTTATTTTAGTTGTAAACCCCAATCAGTCAGAAAGTCCCATTTAACTGCATTTCTATAGTTTGAAGACTTCAGTTTCTCTTGATGGCGATGGTTGTCAGTCATTGATTAAGTTTACTGTGTGGAAAGCTGATATGTTATGCTCCATAGCAGCAGTCTCCAACCTTTTTGGCACCAGAGACTGGTGCTCCTTTGAGAATCTAATGCCTGATGATCTGAGGTGAGGCTGAGGTGGTGATGCTAGCGCTGGGGAGCGGCTGAAAATACAGATGAAGCTTCGCTCATTCATCCACTGCTCACCTCCTGCTGTGCGGCCCAGTTCCTAACGGGCCATGGACTGGTACCAGTCTGTGGCCCGGAGGTTGGGGACCCCTGTTTCATACACATTTCCTTTTTTGGTGCATTGTCCTCACATTTTACACTCCTAGTATATTTCGCATTTAATCTGCACAGCACTGTATGGAGTACGTACTCTATTATCTCCATTTGACAATGTAAATATATATTTTATTAGAACTTAATTTTAAAAAGAAAAAACCCTACTGTGACAAAGAGGAGGACACACTATTCAGTCACTCCTCTCTTCATTCAATGAACATTGTCAGGATGCCTCCTGTGCTCTAGGCTTTGAGTCTTAGTGACAGGGACAGATACCAGGTATACTGTCCTTGTCTACTGAGAGCTCAGCAAAGGAGACGACTCTTTGCAAGACAACTTTTATCTGACTTTTAGTGGGTGTAGTCACCCCATTTCGGAAGGTAGTTGTTGAATCCAGTATATCCCCATTTCCACTGCCAGCCCGAGAGTGATTAGGCCATGTTATGTCTGTTTGTACTAAGGTGCTTGATGGTGTTAAAAGATGGTGTCTTGTTTTCCAGATTACCTTGAAGCTGTGGACAAGTGGTTGGGAGTCATTCTGCCCAAAATGAAACCTTTCCTCTATCAGAATGGAGGGCCAATTATAACAGTGCAGGTAACCATGGAGATGAAGATGGCAGGTGGGAAGGCTTCCATCCATCCACGTTATAAATAGGAGTGATATAGACATGAGCTTCATAAGTCTGTTTCCCTAAGAGGCAAGGTCACAGATGGTGTTTTTATTTAAATTGCCTTTTGGGGAGACATTACCATTTTTGAATGCCTGCTATGTACCAGACTTTGTGCTGGATGCCCTACAAATGCTACTCAATTATTCCAACCACTGTCGCTTAAATAAGAAGAATTTCAAAGAGGTTAAGTGACTTGGCCAAGGTCGCCCAGCTGATAGGTGGCATAATCAGGATTGCACCCCAGGCCCACTAATCCTGTAGTCTATCTCTTTCTCTTGTCCTGTGCTGTTTTGGGGCTGCAAAGAAGTGGCATGGATGAATGCTTTGGTGTCTGCCCTGCTTAGGCAGTCAGTTCACACTGGTATAGAAAGAGGATACAGTGATGGTGGCCTTTATGTTTTCTCTTCCACTTCCTGCCCCCACTCTCCTTCTTCCATGGGTTTTTTTTCTCTGCAAAGACTGGTATATTGTAGGGTGTTTCATGTGGCAAGTGTTCTCCATGAGAAAAATCAGGACACATGACCTGCAATGATTTTTGATGTTTGTGAAATTACTTAGGTAAGACAGAAAACTATATTCATTGGTCATTTACCAAGGATGCTCTTATTGAAAAGAACAAAGTTATACAAAACTAGCTGCATCCTGGACCAGCAAAGGGATGCAGTGTGGCTCTCCCTGGAGGAGCGTGGACCAGATTGCCTTCTTATGAACAGTACTATGGACAGTTTGTAGGGAAGGTCATTGTGGGGAGAGAGCATGGCCGTTCCCTTGCCCTTCATTTACAGGTCAAATGAGGCAATGAGAGGGCTGAGCTGGCCAGGGAGTCCATTCTGACACTCGGTGCCTTTTCATCCATCTCAAGACTGTACTGGCTAAGCCTTTAGGAGCCCATTTTCCTGTGTGAACATGTCAGGTTTGAAACTTGGATATATCTTTGCACAGCTGTGTCTTCTTCTTCTCTCTCGATCTCAAAATTCAGTTTCCTTCGATTTAGGGCAAGTCTATGCTTCTCCCTAAATCATTTTCATTTTTTGCTTACAACTTTTCTGTACCTGAAATGCCATGAAAAATGTGATCAAATATGAGCTCTTGTGTCTCTCTGGCAACCTCAGATGACTTTAACTTGACCGTAAGTCCTGCCAGGCAACTTGGCTCCCTCCTCTGCTTCTCCCCCATAACCTTTCCACTTGCTTGAATCCTACCTAATCCTTTTTGCCCTTTGATGACCAAATAAACAAGTACATAAGTGTTGGAAAGTTTAGAAAAATAGAAGAAAGCAGAAAAACCACAATTGTCACTTGAACATCAGGAGCCAGAAGCAAAGTTCTTTACATTTGTGGGAAGATTTCCTTAAATTTTTTCAATGCCTTTAAAAATTTTCCTTTTATAGTCGGTTCAGTCTGTATGGACAGTTTCCTATCTGACTTTATCTTATTCTTAGGTCATAAGCATTTTTTCGTATCATTAAAAATTCTTTGCACACCAACTTCATGGTTGTCCTTCTGTCATTTGAGGCATAGTTCCCCTAGGTGCCCCTCTGTCCGAAGCCTTCCCTGTTGACTAAATTGGCGTCCACTTGAGTGTCAGAACCCTTGGCTAGTGTCTTCATTTGTGAAGCTTTTGTGGCAGTTTGTCCACTTTCATCCCTGCCCAAGTGTATCTCTAGTCTCTTCTGCTCCCCACATGTCTGCCTGGCAGCTCTGAGATCACATCCCACATGTGTACACATCGCATGCCTACCAAGGGTTCTGGAATTGACTAGAGGTTACTGGATTAGATAAGAAAGAAGCTGCCAGTGGTAGACAGTGTTTCATCATGTGAAAGTTTCTATCAAAGCTGGGTTTTCTCTTAGTCATAATTCAGGCCAGGGGCATAGTGATGGCAGACTTATTCAGTTCACAATGTTGTTTTCTCTGGGTGCCCAGATAGTTTGAAGACACCATAGAGGTGCTGTGTCTGCAGGCAGGGCAAAAATCATTCATACCCAGAAATCTCAAATCCCTACCTGAGGGTGTTAGAGGCCCTCAACACTATTGTGTGACAGCTGCAGGAAGCCCAGCCTGGACCTTTAGTCATCCTTATGATTCAGCCTTATTTGTCTTGGTTGGTACCACGACCACACCTAAAATCATGAAAGCCACAAACACCTATTAATAATATCCGAGGTGAAAATAATTAGGAGTGGGGACCTTGCACCCACAACTTTGCTTTATACAATGTATGAGGTATTTGTCAGGAAGTCATAGTCCTGTTTATACCTGTTTTTATAGAAGATCAACAAATTTCAAAGTCTGTAGTGCTCTGTTCCTTCACTAAGGATCTTATAGGATGAGAGAGTTACTCTAGAATAAGGACCTGCACACTATGGCCCATGAGTCAGCTGGCCCACTGCCTGTTTCTATAAATAAAGGTCCATTGCCACATTCTTTTATTCATATATTATCTATGGCTGTGATTACACTACAACAGCACAGTTGAGTAATTGAGCAGACATGTGGCCAAAAAGCCTAAAATACTTATTTTCTGGCCCTTTATTGAAAAAGTTTGCTGATCCCTGCTCTAGAAAAATCAGTGTCCTTTGGATCTCACTATGAGTTTTTCTGAGTCTTTCAAGCCCTGTGTGTGTGTGTGTGTGTTTCTCTGCTCACTTCCCCAGCCTACACACACACCTTTTTTCCCCCTAGTTGACAATGATATAGAACTTGAGTATACTCCTAGTTGCTAGCTTTGTGAGCACTTATGAGGTGCCAGGTATTGTGCAAAGCCTGTTCATATATTGACTCAGTTAATCTTCATAATGACCCAGTGACGCTGGTACCTTCACCTCTTACAGATGAAGAAACATTTTACAGGTGAAGTCTCATGGATAAAAAGTGGCAGAGCTGAGATTTGCACATGGACAATTAGGCCTCTGATGCCTGCGTCCATGACTACAGCTTTAAGATGCCTCTCTAAAAACCTAACCAAATTATGTGTATGCAGAAACAAGCCTGTTAATTTCAAGGTGCATTATATAGTGATGATAATGGATGAGTAAATCTTGAAAAAGTAAGTGAAGAGGAATGAGGTTGGGTTGGGGCGTGAGGGCGGGCAGAAAAGTACACCAGATTCAAATGCTCTGGGCTGACTTAGCTGCTAGAGCTGACCCTTAAATTTAGCTCTGAACTGCTTGACAGTCAAATGATGAGGCAAGACACAGCCATTTAATTGGTTTTTGTTAAAAGAGAGGGGAAAAAGAAAATGAGAAGAAAGTACCTTGCCAGTGTTTGCAAGCTTTTCTTAACATTTATCTCAATTATTTCCAAAGGGACTGCTGTGGGGCTAATCAAAGTATCCCAGATCAGTTGCCCAAGCGGAGTTTTCCATTCTCTGTGTGGCAATTCGCTCTTTTTTTGAGATGATGGAACTGGGCATGCGCACCGTAGTCTGTTTTACTTCATGAACCCCATAACCTGAAAGTATTGTCAGAGGGGTTCTTTCTGAGAAAATAGTTTATTCGTTAAACCATTTGGGGGCAGGACTGTGTAGATAATGATGATGGTAGTTAGTGCATCTCCATCATTCACCCTTCCTTTCTTACTTCCCAGCTCTGTCCACAGGCTGTATGGAGCTTCTGGCAGTTTCACAAACAAGCTACCCCTTGCAGGAATAGTTCCCTCCAGTCCCTCTTCCCTGAGGAGTGCCTTTCCTTCTAGAACTACCCCAGGGATCCCCTCCAGAGAAGTTTCCTTAACCATCTCTCCCAGCCACTGTCAGGCTGGGTACCCCTTTTCCGGGCGATGGCAGTTTCTTTTGCTTATGTTTAAAGACTGTGCATCCCCAGGATCACAAAAATTCGTTTTGCATTATGTGCAGATTGAAATTTTATGGTTGGATTTTTTTTTTTAATTTTTGTAAAATTGTGAACTATAACACATACATAAATGTACAGTATAGTGAAGCATTATGATGAGAACACCCACATAACCAGCATGCAAGGACCCTAGGAGCTTCCCAGGTGTCCTTCTTGATCACGTCCCATTTCTTTCTGACTTTCCTGCCATTAGTTTCTTACTTTTCTTTATATTTTTACCACCTATATGTGCACCTAAACTTTATAGTTTAGTTTTGACTGTTGTGAATTTTCTGTACGGGGAGTTGTACTGTCTGTACTTTTTAGTGTCATGCTTCTTTCACTCAGAGTTGTAATTCTAAGATTCTTTGGTGCATCGGGTGGAACTGAAGATCATTTTATTGCTTTAGGACAAATGTTTCTTGATCTTTTTTTTTTTTCATTGTTGCCCCCTAAGGAGTCTCTTTAGACATTTTTTTCTAATTGCCCCCCCATGACATTTTAATACCTGAGATATACTGTATAATCTGTGCTCTATGTATTACAAAGGATAAGATTTTTTTAAATCTATGAAAATCAGTTTTCGACTCCTTGGGGATGCTCTCCACCCCACTGAGAATGTATGCTTCAGAGCAGGCTTTCCCACCTTCGGCACTATTGCCATTTTGCACCCAATAATTCTTCGTTGTGGTGGCTGACAGGGTAAAGTATTGAGCAGCATCTCTTGGTCTCTACCCACTAGATGCCAGTAACACACCCCTCCTTCAGTTGTGACAACCCAAAATATCTCTAGACATTTCCAGATGTCCCCTGGAGGAGCAAAATAATTAACTCCTGGTTGAAAACTACTGACATTATTGAACACAAACTGAGCATTGGTGATTGAGCACAAAACAGGAAGCAGCCTTGAATGTTTGACAGTAGGAAGTCAAGTAAATGATGGTGCATCTATCCGACAATCACCCTCGTTACTGCCATGGCTATTTGTATAACATATTAAGTGGAAAAAAATAATGTTATAGCTGGTGCATTTAATATGATATGAGTTTTGAGGACAGAAAACAATTTCTATAAATTGTTTGTGTATATTTAGGACGTGTGTGTGTGTGTGTGTGTGTGTAAATCTGGAAGACTGTGCCCAAATGCTTACAGTGGTTATCTCTGAGTAATCGAATTAACAGATGATTTTTCCACTTTCTTTTCATCTGTCTCCATTTCTAATATATCTACCATGGGATGGTATTATCTATGTAATGTTTAAAGTATCTATTATCTATTATAGTGGAGAATATCGTTACAATCCGAAAACTAGCCCAGAGATTTTTGTTTCCTTTTTCTTATTTCTAGGGGAGGATAGTAGAAGTTTTTATGCCCAGTTGCTTTTTGGAAAATGAGCTTTGAGGTCCAAGTGTAGGAGATATTTTTGGCAGTCATTAAGCCTTGTCATGTCAGTACAGGTGCTCAGGCATTTTCTCCAAACAAAAACTTGCATTAGAATGACTATATTGGGATCTCCTGGGTCTTTACACTCTCCTCTTTTTTTAATTTGCAGGTTGAAAATGAATATGGCAGTTACTTCACCTGTGATTATGACTACCTGCGTTTCCTGCAGAAGTCCTTTCGCTACCACCTGGGTAATGATGTGATTCTGTTCACCACGGATGGAGTATATAAGGATCTTCCACATTGCGGGACACTGCAGGGACTCTACTCCACGGTGGACTTTGGTCCAGGTTGGTGTTCGTAGTAACAGAAAACCTGGCTAAGGCCATGTAGCGACCTTTTACTGAGTGATTGCTCTGGGCAGCTGTTGTTTTAATTGGCATGAGCATATTGAATGAGATGCCTCAGATTTTCCTTAATCAAGTAATAGGATAAAAAAAATGAATAATGGATAAAGTCCCCTCTGTTGCAGAGATTACTTTATTTAAGCTGATTTGGCCTTTAAGACAAGAGCTCTGTTTTCAGCCCTGGTGGAGCTAGCCTGGAACCTGGAGTACTGTTCTCTCAGGGGCTGGCTGGCCCAGGAGCCATTCCAGCTGTGAGAAGCTCTACTCCCAGGCAGTAGCCTTTCAGACTCTGTCTGGGACATGCTGCTCTTCTCTGCTTTCTCTGTCTCCCCAGACTTGGCTAGATGCTCAGGGCTGAATCAGGGCCCTAGTGAACTCTGAGGTCAGCCGCTGGCTGGGCTGCGTTGGCCTGTCAGTCCAGGAGTGCAGGAAGTTACCTTGTACTTCTGTTTTCTTTCTGTGTAACACATAACACTGTGAACTGTCATGGGCCGGAGGTGATTTGGTCTATGCTGTCGTCTTACCTAACTCGTTAGTGCCATGTAAGCAGCAGAAGTTCTACAAATGAAAGTTCTGGGTGGGTGGGCGGGCAGCATGGCTAGGATGTTCCTGGCTATAATAAACTTCTGGCTATAATTAAGAGAGTCTTCATTAGGTTGAGAGCAGCTTTCATAAAGAACGTGACAGCTAAATGCAACATACAATCCTGAAAAGGATCCTGGTCTGGACTCTTTTTTTTCTTCTCTTTATTTTTTTCTGTGAAGAACATTATTGGGACAATTGAAATCTTTAAATGTAGTCTATAGATTAGATTAGATAATAGTATTTTATCCATGTTAATTTCCTGTTTTTTTAATAATTGTGTTCATTTAAAGAATGCCTTTGCTCTTAGGAAAAGCACGCTGAAGTATTTAGGGGTAAAGGGCCATCACGCCTGCAACTTATCCTCAAATGACTCAAAAAATATATATACTTATTTAAAGAGAGAGAAACTGATAAGTACATGTGGTAAAATGCTAATAGTTGGGGAACCTGAGTGAAGGGAATATGAGTTTTTTGTACTACTCTCACAACTTTTAAGTCTGAAATTATGTCACAATAAAAAATTATTACCTCCCCCCGTAAAAAAAAGACCAGCTCTTCAAGTAGCATAAAGACCCCACTGTTCTTCCATCTGAGGAATGAGGCACTCGGTGCACATTACACATCCAATACTTGCCTTCTCTCGAGAAGGATGTAGAAGACTGAAGTTGCATTTTTAAAGAGATTCTTCTACATTATCAAAGAAGAAAAGAGCGCACTTTAAGTGAATCGAACGTTTCTGGAAACGTGGTACATTGCTCAGAGCATTTGCTGATGAAATAACTCATCTACAAAGAGCTGCACAGGAAGTGGCATATGCCAGTTTCCTCCTGCTTTGGCACACTTCCCATCACAGTGATGAAAAAGCACAGTATTCTTCTGTGGTGAGGAACAAATAGAAGATCATTACAAGTTTGTCGTAAGCACTATTTCTATGTGGAGCGACAGCCCAGTTGCTCCTGCTGTGGATTGAAGGACAGACCCACACTGGCTGCAAGGCCAGTGGGCAAGTGGGCCTGTGACAGCTCCATTCATTTGTGTGGGAGAGAGATATGGCTAGGGGGTCAGATCATGGGAGGAGGCTCACAAGAAGAGTAAAGATTTGAACGCCACCTAATGCATAATAGTGAGAAACTTATAGCTTTAAGGTAAATGAGATTATAGTCTTTATCAATCAGCACAATTTTTTCCTGAAAGCTGGCCTTACAGAGAAGCCAAGGTCTATGGGGTGGGGGTAAAGGGTGATTTGGAGGTCTTGGCGAGTGTCAGTTCATCTCTGGGAAACCTGCTCTGGGAACTGGATCGTGAAGTTTGGGGCCAGAATATTCTTTGTTCTGGTCGCAGAAACACTATAACCAACATAAGGCAGCCATGACCTCTCTGTGGAAAACCTCTTTCTCTTTTTAGAGGAGGAAAGGAGAAGAGAAGACATGAGAAGACAAGACACAGGCATCCTAATGGAATATTTCAGAAGGAAAAATGGAGAGCATGTGGCCTGGAATGGCTGATGATATACAAATTAAAATTCAGAGAATACTCCATTATTCAGGGAAACACAATTAGACCACATTCATCCCTTTGACTTGTTAATTACTTAGCAAATATTTGTGACACTATTATTGTGTGTGACACTGTGGAGGCTACAAGGAAGTAGCTTCAGAGCAGGCCCACCCTGTGGGGAGCATCTGGGTCAACCAGATGTCCAGGTAAAGAGAGAAGAGCATAAGACATGTCTAAGTCGTGGGGAAACGCAGGTGAAGAAGACAAGCCTATGACTTGAACTTCCCGGGAAATGCAGTCAGAAAAGGCCAAGGGGACCTGTTCAGAGAGGAAGCAATATTTTGTGCTTTCCATACATCCATTAAATGGATGGTGAATCTAGTTTAAAGCTAGCTTGGAGATGTTTTAGGTTCCTGGGAGTGGAGGGAAGGGCCGGAGCCTCAGGCTCTAGTCCTGCAAAGGGCTCTTTTTATTTAACTGCTTGTTGTTCCCACAACTGACCTTTCTTCTCTGTCTCATAATTTTCAGGTGCCAACATCACAGATGCTTTCCTACTCCAGAGGAAGTATGAACCCAAAGGACCCTTGGTAAGAATTAGGAGTGAGGTGTGGAGAGACTGCTCGTACCAACTTCATTACATGCTGTAGAAGGGTGGGCTCAGCAGCTGTCCATCACCCTCTAGACACATGAGTGACAGCAGCAGCAATGCTTTTACTTGAAACCAAAGCCCTGTACTGTTGTGGAACAGAATGGGGACTCCCGTGAATGTCCTGCCATGCATGTTCGTGCTCACGCGTACTTCATCTCACTTGGTCCTTACCGCAACCCCCATAAGCAGTGTTATTGTCTCCATTTTTAATGAGGCTCAGAGAGCATGTCACTCGCCCAGGGTTGTACAGCTGGAGAGTTGCAGGACCGGGATCTGAGTTCAGGCTGGGTTTTTTTTTTGAGAACTCTTTGTGACAGAGCTTCTCCACCTTTCACGTGCTTATGAATCACATAGGAATCTTATCAAAACGCAAACTTTGATCTACTGGGTATGGGGTGGGGCCTGAGATCCTGCATTTCTGACAGACAAGCGGGTGACATTGGGATGGAGGTTTGCTGAGCATACTCTGAGTTGCAGGGCTTTGTGGCATGCTGTGTAGATGGCTAGGAGGAGATTGTGGCAAAGTCTATGCAGGGGTATATAATCCATCAGGGCTTTGTGGCATGCTGTGTAGATGGCTAGGAGGAGGAGATTGTGGCAAGGTCTATGCAGGGGTATATAGTCCATCATTCCACCACCTCTGCTCTTCCCTTCTCCACACTTGTCATTGTGATTCAACCCAGTTTAAGGGGTTGTGTCCTGCGCCTTCTCTGCAGCAGGTCAGCTGCCCCACCTGTGTACAAACCTTTGTACAAAACAACCTTTTGTGAATCTGATCTGTGCTTAGTGAGCAGTGCAGAACCTGCTTTCACAGACTGTGGGTGGAGCGATTTCCTGAGACAAGGAGGCCCCAGATCATATCCAGATCTCTTTTTTTGTTCTCTAGACCAAGGGCTTGGGACAGCAATGCCCAAGAGAAACATGAAATGGTTGGGGCCTGCTTTGCAGAATACTTGGACAAGTTGACCTCATTTTAAGTCAACCTGAGATCTGAGAATCTGGGTTCACTTAAAGGATCAATTTGGAGCTGATATCATAACAGTATTTCTCCATCCCGTTCTTTTGCTCCAACAAATTCTCCTACTGTATATAAACTGGGGATTGGTTAACAAAATTTTGATACAGGTACAGCTATTCAGGAGTACCAGGTGCCTGAGACCTGAGTTCGGGCGATGCTGTTATCAGAAGTCTCCATTGGTCTCCCTGCTCTGGGTTAAGCTGTGTATGTCAACTCCCCTTTCCACCTGTCCCTTGGAGGAGAACCTAGGGCATTAGTTACAGGGAAGCCCCAGTATTTGAATGCCATAACTCTATCCTAAGTTCTACATCCCTTTCTCTTTTTAGATCAATTCCGAATTCTATACTGGCTGGTTAGACCATTGGGGCCAACCTCACTCGACAGTCACGACTGAAGCGGTAGTGTCCTCCCTCCATGATATACTTGCCCACGGGGCAAATGTGAACTTGTGAGTATTAATGTCAGGAGGGGAGGGCGCCCTCCACAGCTGTGGGCTGACAATGAAGTACTGTCTGTTCTCCTGTTTCCTCGTAGGTACATGTTTATAGGTGGGACCAATTTTGCCTATTGGAATGGTAAGAGCAATTTAACATCCATTGGTAGAAGCTTATGCTAGAATGTTTCTGGTGCTTGATTTCGGGGGTGTGTGCCTACAGATAATTTTTATTTTCTATTTTTGTTTGTCTTCTAAATTTTCTAACATATGAGTTTTGGCTATATATTTTAAGAAATCGTTTTTCTTTTAAAAAACTTTTTAAGGAACATAAATTGTGTATTTAGAAACCTTATCATTTTAAACCAGGCTGACTAGGCAGGCTTCAGTCACAGCCTTTGGCTATAGCTCACCTGTGCATATGTTCTGCAGTGGTCTTTTTTTTTAAATTGTTTTGTTGAAATGTAATTCACATACCATAAAATTCACGATTTTGAAGTATACAGTTCGGTGGTATTTAGTACACCACAGAGCTGTGCACCCATCACTGCCGTCGAGTCCAGAACCTTTTATCTCTTCAGAAAGAAACCCCGCACCCAAGAAACTGCCCGCTCTCCCTCCTCCGACACTAGTTTGTTCGCTCTATGGGTTTGCGTGCTCAGGACATTTCGTATAAATAGAACCATACAACACATGGTCTTTCGTGTTCGACTTCTTTCATTTAGCATAGTCTTTTCGAGGAGCGTCCATTGTGTAGCACGTATCAGTACTTCATTCCTTTTTATTGCTGAAGTAATATTCCATTGTATAGATGTACAACATGTTTATCTACTCATTGGCTGATGGATATTTGGGTTGTTTCCACTTTTTGCTAATGTGAACGTGGATGTATAAGTCTTTGTATGAATCCATTTCAGTTTTTTGGGGGTGTGTATGTGCTGGGTCACATTGTAAGTCTATGTTGAGAGTTTGAGGAACTGCCATAGTGTTTAACAAAGTGGCTGCATGATTTTACATTTCTATAGGGTCTTTCTTTTTTTGGTAGGAAACATGACAAAATTCTCTTCATTGCCATTGATTTTTATAAAGGCAACCTATACTATATTGGCCTTTCTCTCAGCCTCGTTCCCCACCTCTCTTCACATCTGTATTTTTCTCTCTGAATCATGAGGATGCCCTACTGTTGAGTTTTGCTAGGATGTGTAATTGTATACTATCTGCTTTTAATAAAGTTTCTCCCTTAAACTGCTATCTTTTGTGCAGGGCGGGGTAGGCTAGGAGAAGGCTTTGCTTACATGTGTGATTAATATTATTACTATTATTACAACCAAGAAATGGAAATATTGTAAAACTCAAATGTCTCTGTTTCAAAGATAATAATAATATACAAGGTTGGTAGTCGAAGTTTTAGATCATCTCTGTGTGTCTGTGTTCTCATTAGAAACAGTTTAGACTTTGGGATGCCATTTTTATTCAGTAGGTAAGAATTCCACCTAAGCTTCCATTCATGGAATTCAGACCAATCATCCAATCCAGGAATGAAGACTCATATTTTTTGGAACTTTACTGTTCATGATACAGTTTTTAAATATCTTACTGTTCTACTTAAAACGATAGTCTTCTTTTTAAAAATTTAGATAATGTAAAAACTACCACTGAGAAAATGGACATTTTCTTTAATCCTCTCCCTTGCTCTTGACCCTGCCATAATTAATAAAAGTCTCTTTTCCACCTCTGTGGTCTCATTTAGTCCTCATAGCCATCTCATGTGGGCTATGATTATTGACCCACTTTACAGGTAAGAAAAGCAGGATACAAAAGAAGTCCACGTGTTTCCCATTCAGCTGGCAGGGGGTGGAGCCTAGACTCAAACTCAGGTCTTAGAAAACTGGTCACTGCCCTTTGGATAACCCCTTGCAGCCCAAGTCCCCTGTGCCAGCTCCCAAATCAAAATACCAGGCCTCTCTGACCTGCCATGTGCACGGCCTAGTCTCTGGGGAACTAAGGGAGGGCCAGTCTGTGCTTCTTAATGGCTGTTGTTCAGGCCAGCTTTCCAGAGGAGAGCTGTGAGCGAAAAACATCATGAGCTCATTGCCCATCCTACCCAAGGAAGGTGCACATGCTTGTGTAAGTATATGTACCACACTCTGTACCCGTGTGTGTTCCCATCTGTGTGAGAGCCTCCTATGGGCTCCAGGCTCCTATACCTTTCACACAATGCAGAGAGCTGTGGACTGGTAAGTCTTGCTGTATTTTTGCCTTCCTACTTCACTCCCTGATGTGGTGAGAAGAGGCTCGAGTTAGCACTGTGTTTCTATGACACTACGGTGATCTGAAAACATCCGGAAAAAGATTATGCTAGTAGAAAATCTTTGCTAATAGAGCAAAGATTAAGTTTGCCAATCCATCCTTTAATCCACTGGCCAACTTCCCCGCCTGCGTTCCCTTGACCTGTACAGTTTGCTTCCAGATGTTACAGTTGTTTAGCTCCACTCGGCAAACCACGTGTAGAGCTCATTTTCCGTCCTGGCTCTGGCGCGAGGCTCAGGTCAATGAGGCCACACCTATTTTTAAGGTGCACATGGTCTAGCGTGGAGAGACAGATATAAATAAGAAACTCGGGGCGGCACAGTCACTGCCACTTTAGAACTAGAGAAGGGATTGCAGAGGAGAAGGTGAGCTCCTTGCAAAAAGGGATGTGGTTTTCTTTTTCTTTGTATCTCATGGCAGAGGATGTGTTTTATCATGTGTATCCCCAGAGGTGGGTGGACCTATTGGCAGGCAGCTCTCTCTGGCTAATAAAAAAAGGGAGGAAAGTAATATATGACTGGATCAATTCAATTGGTTGAATGATTTAGGTGTTTCAAAATGTAGATTCTGTGCAGAGAACTAATGAAAGAGTCTTTACAGGGATAACTTGATCTTTAGCCTGGCTCATCTGTCAACTTCACCACCAGTAGGATCACCCAAGGTGGCTCCATCATTTGCGAGCTGCAGGACCATTTGAAGGAATTTGTTACCAAGTCATAGGTGAACTCTTGGATTTTGTGCCTCATTTAATTAAAAATTAGGTTGAACATAAGATTAATTCTCAAATGACTTTATTCTCATACACTTGCACTGCAAAATGCTCTCTGCAGTAGAAGAGAAAGAGGTGACACAGAGCCTTGAAGGTCTGCAGACAGCATCACTGTCACCTGGGAGCCTGTTAGGAATGGAGAGTCTCAGGTCTCTGCTGAATCAGAGTCTCAGGCAGGGTTTAGTCTCAAGACCTGCTGAATCAGAGTCTCAGGCAGGGCTTAAAAATCTTTTAACAAGTTGTCCATGTGACTCGTGCATGAGTAAATTTTCTAAGTACTGCCATAGGGTTACTACCCAGTATTACAAAGAGTCTCCTACCTGTGACTATCATCTGTGACAAGGTTGCGGGCCTCTGTTCTAGACTCTGTCCCTAGTCTTTTCGTATACACAGAATGGGTATTATTTATTGGTCTCTATTGAAGGTCACATTCCCTGGGAAACAGACTCTGAGGTCGCCCAGCAGAAAGTTTATTGGGTTGGGCTCTCAAGAGCACACAAACAGGTGTGGAGAGAGTGTGGGAGGCGGGACTGAGCAGAGGGAGATGCTAGGCTGTGATGCAGTTTCAGAAGTAGCTCAGCTGATTCTAGAGGGAGCTCTGGAGCTGGGATGGCCCTTTGAGGCAAGGGGACTGGGCTTTTATATCCTCACGATGGTCAGTCGTTGGATATAGGCTATCCTGGGAGTGCTGTAACTGTTCCCAGCACAGGCCAGTGACCAGAGAGGGACACATCGGAGAGCCATTAGCAGCCAACACTCCAGGCAGCTGGGGTAACCAGTGAGTGCGTTGGCTCTGAAGAGGGATAGGAGAGGCACACCACAGCACCCCCTGCAGGCATTACAGAGGCTTTACGGTTGCATTTGAATCACTGTAAGTTAATGTGCCGTGTAGTCATCTCCCACTTTGTTTGGTCTGGTTACCCTCAGTTATTTTCTGCTGTCACCTTTGTCCCACCACTGACCTTTTCTCAGCCGCACAGTTCAAGGTCATGAAGAGGATCACAGACTCGGGTTAACGGAGACGTGGGTCATGGCATAAGCCCTGAGTGACTTGTTGTGAGGAGCTGAGCTGGTTTTAGATTCCCCGTTTGTCCAGTGGCAGTGATGTCTGCTGGTGTCACAGCTGTGAGTGTCCACTGAGAGTGGGTGGCAAAGTGCTTTCTAGACTCTAAGGTGCTTGGCCAGGGCCTCCTGCAATAAGAAACTCGTTTCTCTAAACCTTGCATCCTGAGGGCCACCTCTGTGTCACTTAATAGTTGGTTCAGATATATCCTTAATTTTCTCCCACCACAATGCTGAGCCCAGGAATCCCAAAGAACTGGTCCCAGGCAAGGGCCTTCGGTAGTAACCAGTGGCATGTTTTTTGTCTTCTAGGGGCCAATATACCCTACCAAGCACAGCCTACCAGCTACGACTATGACGCCCCACTGAGTGAGGCAGGGGACCTCACCAAGAAGTATTTCGCTGTGCGAGATGTTATTCAGAAGGTGAGTGCTTTATACAGGCTGCAGTGGGCTGGTCTTGGACAGAGGCTGCCTTGAACTCGCTATACTCTGTAGACTTCCTAGGCTTCCTGGAGCCTCTGTGTTTAAAATGACAGGTGAATTGAAGCATTGGATGGACTTGGCTTTGAGTGTTGGCCCCCACCTGATTTAAGAGTGAGCCTGTGAATAAGTTACTCCATTCATCTATTCATTTGCACCTGGTCGTGTTGTAAGAATTAAAAAGTACCTACCTATGTAAGGCATCCAGTATAGTCCTGATACATATGTTGTTCAGTAAGCGGTAGCTATTACTATTATTTATACGAAAGGTCAGAAAATGTGAGTCCACATAAGTAGCTGAAGTATATAGGAGAGAACATCTGTGGGCATTGGAAGCATGTGAGTTGTCTGCGATGCTTCATTTTTCTAATTGGGACAGTGCTTGCTGTTTCCTTCTGGCCTACCACCTGAACTGCTTAGTCCTGCTAACGTTGTGACCTTTTGAGGCATCTAAAGGACCCAGGTGGGGTTTCCTGTCTCTGCTGTGGGTTAAAAAAAACCCACAGTTTTTCTGCTCAGTCACCAGAGTTTTGAAGTTAAAAAACAAAGGTTTTTCTGCCTATAAATGGTATGGACTTTTTTCTGTTGTTTTAAATATGCTGTAGTCTCAATTTAAGCCTGAGAGTTAAAATCTATATTGTGAAATATGTTAAACGTACTGAAAAATATGATCTTTACTTATCTAAGAATTTGTCTATTCCATCTAAATTTTCAAGTGTATAGTTAAAATGTTGCTCGTGCTTTTTTTTATTATGCGTTTAGTCGCTGCAGAATTTGTAGTGATGATTCTCAAGCTCATTCTTCTTTGTCTGTTCTGTTTCAAATCTCTCTATTCCTGTTTTTACTGTGTCCTTCCTTTATTTGAAGCTTAGCTTTTTAATGTAGCCTTTCCTCTTTTCTAATATAAATATTCAAATTTATACAGTTTCTTCAAGTATTGCTTTAGCTCTGTCTCATAAGTTTTGATATGTAGTATATTCTTACTGTTTGCTCTGAAACATGCCTATTTTGATTTCTCTTTGACCCTTGACATGTTCAGAAATTTTTCAATTATTAAACATACATATTTTTCTAGTTTATTGGTTTCTAACATATTTGCATTCTAGTTAGAGAGTGTAGTCTGTATGATACCAATCCCTTGAAATTCTTTGAACCTAGAGCCTGGCATATACCAATGTGAACAAATATTCCATGTGTTCTTGAAAAGACTATAGGTTTTGTTATTGTTGTATTGTTGAATATAATCTGTATACATGTTTATTAGATTAAGCTTATTAATAGTGCTGTTGATATCTTTGATATCCTTCCTAATTTTTTTGCTAATTTATCCTATTGTTTGTTTAGAGAGTTGTATGTATGTATTTCTCCTTATAGTTCTGTCACTTTTTAAGGTCATGTTATTAGATGTGCACATTGAGAATTAAATCCTTTAGTATCATTATGTGTTAATACCCTATCTCTAATAACGCTTTTTTGCCTTAAAGTCTTTTTTGTCTGGTACTATTATAGCTTACCTGCATTCTTTTGGTTAGTTTTTACCTGGTGTATCTTTCACAATGCTTTAATTTTAACCTTTTTATAACCTCTTTTTTTTTTTTTTTTTATGTCTCTTGTAAACAAGATATAACTGGATTTTAAAAGATCTGGCTTGAACATTTTTGTCTTTCAACCGTTATATTTATTCCCATTCATTATAATTCTGGATGCACATCAATTAATTTCAACTATCCTATTTTATAATAATCTGTTTGTCCACCTTTTCTGTTTTGTCTTCCCTTTATTACTTTCTTTTGAATCGAGTAATTTTTTTCCTTTATTTCACTGTCCCCACACCACCCCTCGCCAGTTTGGAAGTTACTCACTATATTTTTATTTCTTTAGCGGTTATCTATTGAGGTATAACATATGTACACCCAAAAAAGCACAACTCATCAGTGTACAGTTCAGTGAATTTATACAAAGTGAACACACCCCCATAACCAATACACAGCACCCCAGAACCGCCCCTCGTGATCCTTGCGTTTAACCTCCCATCCCCAGAGTTAACCACTGTCTTGACCTCTCTCACCACAGGTTGGTTTTGCTTGCTTTTTAACTTTATGAAAATGGATTCATACAGTATGCACACCTTTATGTCCTGTTCTGAGAGAACTTTAACTTTCAGCTTTAACTTTTAAGAATTTAAAAGTAATCAATATCTTTACTTCCTCCATACAAGCAGAGCGTTATTTCACATTAACCCCAGTTACATCCCTCTTGGCTTAATGCTATTAGTGTCATGTATTTTACTTCTGTTGGGTTTAGATTTCATGTATTCTATTTCTCTCTTTTAAAAAAATAACCTATAAGGCATTATTATAATCATTTCAGACATTGTTTGACTTTACCTACGTTGTTTATTTATTCACAGATAATTCCACAAGAATTTAGCAATTTTCCTCTATATGCCAGGTGAGGTTTCAGCTGCTTGGTATATATAAGCCTCCTTGAGAAACTGCAGCCGGAACAAAGACTTTAAGGTGGTGAGAGAGCCATGGGGGCTATCCAGGGCCAGAGCAGTGCCCCCAGAATGCAGCCAGTGAAAAGTGGGAAAGTGCGTGGCGTTTTTAAGGACTAGCAAGGAGTCCAGTGTGGCTAGAACCTCATAAGTGAAGGGGAGAGTAGTAGATAAGGTCAAAGGTATAATGGGGAACTGACCTCATAGGGCATTATAGGCCATTGTAAGACTTTGGCTTTTATTCGGAATGAAATGGGGATCCACTGTTAAAGGATTACTTAGGCTGCTATATTGAGACCTAGACTCTGAGACACAGGGCAAAGGTAGAAAAGGAAAACCAATTAGAAGGCTTTTGCAGCCATTTAGGTGAGAGGGGATTGTGGCTTATGAAGCAGTAGGAACTGGTTGTGGTCAGACTATCTTATGAAAGTGGAGCTCGTAGAGTTTTCTGAGGTAAAATATGAAAGAGAGAGTAAAGTCAAGATATCTCTGGGTGTTTGACCTGAGCAGCCTGAAGGATGGCGTTGCTATTTGTGTGTGTGTAGAAGGAGCAGAGATCGGGAATTCAGTTTTGGATGTTCTGAGTTCGACCTATCTAGTCCACTTCCTAGCAGAGTTCATGAGCTAGAACATCCAGCTCAACCACCCCTAGATTCTTTACCCTCAGAAACTGAGCAAGATAATAAACATTTGTTATTTTAAGCTACTAAGTTTTATGGATATTTCATTGGTGTTTTGGGAAAGAATGAAATTAGATGCATGTGTTTAGTGTGCCAGCTCAACCTAGATGATCTCATTGTCTTTAATGGCTACTCGCTATTATACTATTCAGATTTATTGCCATTTACTTGATAAGTTTCTAATTGATGGGCATTTAGATTATTTTCAACTTTTAAATCTCATGGGTAGCTACAGGAAATTTTCTTAAAATGGTGAGTCAAAGTTGTTTGCATCTAACATTTTGATAGATATTACAAAATAGCCCTTCAGTAAAATTACAGTTGAGTCTTATTTCCCCACACTTTTACCAATACTGTGAATTATCAGACTTTTAACCTTACCATTTGATATGTAAAAAGGAGAGTTTTAAAAGAAAACACTGCATTTCTTTAGTGATGAGTATTAGATTTGTACACTCATATATGAATCATCCATTTATGGTTTTTTTTCTATGAACTACTTGTTCAGGTTTTTTCATAGGTTTTCTGTTGGGCTATTTGTTTTTTTGTTGTTGTTTTTTTAATCTGCAAGAATTCTATTTATTATTGTAGCATTTTTCACAGTTTTAGGGGTTCTTTATTTTTTTCCATAAAAAAACAGTTTTGAATTTTTATGTAGTCAGATGTATTACTCCTCTCCTTGATAGCTGCTTCCTCACTCTAGTAGTATAAATAAATTTCTCTTGGAGTGCTTAAAATTTTTGATTTCATATTTTACATTTAAACATTGACGTATATGGAATTTTCATCATTGTTGTTAAGAATGAAGAGGAATTTAGCTTTATTCATCTCTTAAATGACTAGCCAGTTATCACAGCACCTTTCACTGACTTATCCATTAGTTTGCCACTGATTTGATGTGCCCATTTTATGACCTACTTAATTTCTTTATTTGGGTCTATTTTCAAACTCTTTTATGTTATTGATTTTTTTCTCTTTTACCAATACCAAACGCTTTTAATTGTTACCTTTACTATGTTTTATTATTTGGTAGGACTAGTTTTCCATCTTTTGCCTTTCAGAATTTCCCTAACTGTTCCTGCAAGTTTACTTTTCCACATAAATTTTGGTATTATTTTATCATCTTCAAAGCAAACAAGCAAAAAAAAAAAAAAAAAACCCAAGGTAGCTGTTGATATTTTTATTAGTTTCGTCTTAAATTTATACATCAAATTAGAGATAATATTTATAATATTGAGTCTTAGCCAAAAATGCTTTCTCGTCTGTTCAGATCTTCTCCGATGTCCCTCCTGTTTTCAATTCTTCTTAAAGTAATTCTTGTTCATTTCTTGTATTTATTCCCAAGTATTCTGTTTTTTTAATACCACCGTAAAAGAAGTCTCATTTCTTTATATTTTTATGAGGTATATTTATCTTTAAAATATGAAATTCTTAAAAATATTTAAATACATAAAATAGTGTTTCAAATGCCCTTGCACCCAGTACCTAGATTTAACACAGGTTGTTATGAAATCTTTGCTTCTGATTTTTAAAGAAAATAATACATTACAATTAAAGCAAGAGCTTTATTCCTTGTTTCTTCCCCTCTCTCCTCAGAGGTAATTACTCTCCTGGAATGATATTTATCTAATTTGCACATATTTTTGTGCTTTTATTACAAATGCATGCATCCCCATATAATATATTTAATTACTTTTTGTCTCTTTTAAATTGTGCAGGAAAATTACATCGTACTGACCGATTTGTTCAATTAGATTATTAAGCCT